GGGCAAGTTTCCTGCCCTCTCTTACTCTGTTTTCCCTTCTTCAATAAAAAGCTCCCATTTCTCGAGCACCTGCCCACTTTATGCCACATTGTCTTGTGAGGCTGACACAAGACAATGTCCCCGCTTTACAGATCAGAAAACTGAGGTTCTTTGTGAGGAAGCGGTGGAGCCAGGGGTAGGACGGCTATGTCCTCCTTCCCGTGGCTCCCCAGTGCTCTGCTTGCTGGTCTCCAGCCTCAGCTTCTTTCCGACTGTGGCACTTCCCTGACTGCTGCTCCAAGGTCACTCAGCTTGGCCTGGGAGGAGCTCAGACTTGAACCCAGGCCCCTTGGCTCCTGGCCTCCCTCACTCTTTGGCCAGCAGGCTGGGCCTGTTCCCTGGGTGAGTCATGCCGCTGGACTTTAGCCTCCTTGTTAGGCTCTGTGGCCTGAATTTAGAGAGTGGGCCTTTGAAAGGAAGGGGGCGCCCCTGGCAGCAGTGGGGATCTGAAGCTCTCGTCCCACTCCCTTCTCAGTCCTGGGCCATGAGGGCATGGTGACAGCAACCCATAACCACCTCCCCTTCATGATCTCTAAGAAGTCTTGTAGGAATAGCTCCCCGGGCCTCAGTGACAGCACTGCTTCCACTACTCATTTTGTCCCTTCCCTGGATAACAGCTATATTCAGTTAGAAATGGGGTGGGGGTGGGAGCTTGGGGAGGTGGCATTCAGATTGTCTGTGTGCCCAGGCCTTGTCCTTCCCAGTACTCGTCTCCCCCAGCATCAGGCGACCAGGTTACCCAGGAGGGAGGCCATGGCACCTCCCCTCCTCGTGTCCAGGGACCAAGGTCACACCCAGATCCCTGTGCACCTCCACCTCCTCCTAGGGCTAGTAGTGTTTGTCACTGGGGCAACGTGTGGCTGTGCCCAGCTCTGGCAGTGCTAGGGTGACATTCATGCCCCGTGAGCTGTGACGCCTCTGCAGGCAGAGGACAGCACCACCCAGGCTGGCAGTGATGGGAGAGGAGTGGGGGTGGGCTGTCACCTGTCTGAAGCAGTCAGGGGGTGACGTGTCATTTGCCCATCCTGCAGTCTGGAGGGAGGACTGATGGGGAAGGGGCGAAGTTGTGTCCCTGGGTTATACTGTAGTGGGTGGGGTTGGGGGGGTAGTCTGTACCTTTCTCACACCTGGAAGGTGAGGCTTGTGTGTGTGTGTGTGTGTGTGTGTGTTTGTGTGTGTGAAAGAGAGAGAGAGAGACAGGTTCTTTGTGCATTTCGCATCCTGTTAGTGGGTGTGGGGGTGCATGGTTTATGTTAGTTACATGGTTATGAGGGTGACAACCTGTGTCCCTGTCTCATACCGTCTGGGGATATCATGTGCCCGTCTCACGATCTGGGCGAAGTGACAGGTTATATGCTTAGCTCATCCTGTTAGGAGGGTGGTCACTGACTTGTGTGCTTGTCTCTGGCTGTTGGGTATGTGTGAGGTGTCACCATGTGCCCGTCTGATGTTGTGAGGAGTGACATGTGTGATTATCTCGTGCTGTTGGGAGGTTGTCAGTAACTTGGGGGTTGTCTCTCACCCTAAAGAGACAACATGTTGCCCAGTGGTGTGGGGCTGCGGTTGGCAGGGCCTTCCCACGCAGACCACAGGGCCCCAAAGGGCTGGCCAGAGGAAGCTCTGGGGGCCCTGAGTACAGGGACAGATGTGGGCTGGAGCGAGGGTCTCAGTCCCTCATGACCTACCTTCTGGCCCAGGTGCCAACCCTTGAGACTGTTCCCCAGGAGGAAGGACCCCGTGTATCTTCACACAGTGTGGAAAGGGGCCCCTGGCTCTGGGGCAGGTGTGACTGGGGAGGTAGAGCACCAGGCGGGCTTCACATGGGGGGCTGTGTCCCCGCAGGCCTGGGGGGCCCTATTCCCTGCCTCTTCTGCCCCTGAAACTGTTAAACTAATTAAGGCTGTGGAGCCGCAGGATTAATCGGGGCAGCTCGGCGCGGGCCGGGAGCTCAGGTAGTCGATTAGTGCGCCGCGGAGGATATTGGATTTCTGAACCGCAAGTCAGCACTATTCGGGCCTGTTATCTCTCCGAGGCTTGAGGGTCAGGAGGCGGGAGCCTCCGGGCGCACTGGCCGCCCCCGCCCGGCCAGCTCTGGAGCGTCCACTCCCCCTGCCCACACACCGCCAGCCTGTCTGCCTGGCATCCCTACCCACTCCCCCCTGCCCTCCTGGCCCCACCGCTGCCCACACGGCACCCTCACCCAGCCCTTCTCCCTGGCTCACCCTGGCCCTACAGTCATGTTCTCTCTCCTTCTTGTTCCCTCCTGGCATGACTCCCACGCTGTGCCTCCCTGACACCTGCTCCTCAGCTTCTCACCAGCCTCTCTCCACTTTGGTCTCCATCTCCCTGTCACTGTCTCTGTCCCCCAGTCTCTGTTAGCCTCTCCTATCACCACTCTCTGTTTTTGTGTTTGTGTTTGTGAGTGCCTGTCTCTTACAGTTTCTGTCTGTCTCCATCTCTCTGTCTCTCTCCCTCTGTCTGTCTCTGTGTATCTTTCTCGTTCTCCCTCTCTCTGTCTTTTTCTCTCTCCCTCTGGCGTTCAGTCTCTCTCTGTCTGTCTTTTCCTCTCTCTCTCTTGTGTGGTCTCGGCTGGTGTCTGCAACCAGAACAAATCTCCCCCAGCCAACACCCCCTGAACAAGGAGGCCAGAGCAGCTAATGGGAAACATGTGATTCTGCCTTGCGCCTGGAGCACCGTGAAGGGAGCCTTAGTCCCAGCTCAGCCCTTGCTCCCCCCTTGCCGCATTCCCCCCACCACACTGTCCCCCGCCTCCCAGCATCTCCCCCAGCCTGTGTGGGCACATCAAGTTCCCCCATCATTTGTATTTCATGGGGTGGGGGGAGCTGACGTTTATCAGCTGGGGAGTATCAGGTTATGGAGGGGCTGGGAGCAGCTTTGCTCCTGAGGTCCCCCCAGCCCCCAGGGCCAGGCAGACCCCATGCAGACTCTACCCCCCCACCACCACCATATGTAGGAGAGCAGGGCCAAGATGAGCTAAGCTGTGGGGGCCAGGATGAGGGGCAGCCAGTTCACCCCCAGTGGAGGGCTCTGGGGCCACCCAGATTTCCATCTTTTCTGCCCTCCTGGGCTTCTGGGGAGCTAGAGAGGTGGGGGCTCCCTGAGGGCTTGGGAGCTGCCAGGCTGCATTTCTGTGCCCACCCAACCACGAGGAAAGGGGGGATGGATCAGAGGAGGGAGGCTCTGGCAGGTTGGAATTCTCCTTCTCTGCCTGTGGATAAATTGTCCCTAATCCAGGCTTGGGGAGTTGTCTGGCTCCTACAGAGAGAGAGAGAGAGCAAGCGCAGGAGATAGGGAGGGAGGAGGGAAGCAGGCATACAAACACAGTGACACAGGCACACACTGTCTCACAAAGGGTCTCTCACATGCACAGACACACACACATGCACTGACAAGTTACACAAAGGTGCCACACAAACACTGAGGCACCGTTGTGCTGACAGGCACACCATAGCACACAGACCCTCTCACACATGTTGATACTGACACACAGCTATACTGGCACAGACATACAATGACATGGCACAAGGACCCACTGACACACACACACAATGATAACGTGATACAGTGCACACATGCACGAGCGCATAACGACCCACAGTGAAAGAGACCCACAGAGACGCCATGACCAGTCGTGCCAGCACACTATGACCCTGAAAATCCAAAGAAAGGCAGAGGTAGGAGGGAGGCAACACTGATGCACAGTGACACCAGTGCCCACAGCCATCGGCCTTGAGATTGGAAACCCGCAGGGACAGCAGAGGATCAGCCACACGCCCCTACCCCACCCCCCACACACATCCAGAAAGCTCTGAGACAGGCAGAAGCCGGTTCAGCTCCTGACACAGTGAGATGCAGAGAGCCAGGCAGAGTGTGCACTCACAGGCACACTCACAGCCTGATCACAGTTGGGCACACCTTGTCTCACGTAGGTGCTTACACCTCTGTGTCCTCACAGGCATGCAAACACAGGCTCAGCTGGACATGCACACAAAGCTGAATAGACCCAGATGCACACCCCCACACATATAACTGAAGACATCAAACCCAGGTACGCATGAGCCTCACGTGTACACATACTCGGCTGACCACAGACCATAGTGAGCAAACACAATGATCCCAAACATGTACACTCTTAAACACACATGTCCCACACAGACATACAAAAATACACAGGAAAGCATACAGAAGGCTAAATAGACCCAAGAACCCACATACAGGTATATTGCCCCAGACAGCTGAACATTCACAGACGTGCATTTATACGGGCAGGATCTCTAACACACATACAGATTCCCAGGCAACCAGAACCTCTAAGCAGTCCATGAGGCTTTATTCCCACACCCCCTCTGGGCTCCAGTACAGACTTCGGGGCAGACAAATGGGCAGGAAGCAGGGGGGTGGCGAGAAGGGCCATGGTTATTAAAGAAAACAAGAGACATAACCAATTACTGATGGAGAAGGGTGAGTGCCAGCTGCATATTATACCCCTCATGGAAATCTGCGTTCACCATCACTTTGAACAGCAACTCTCACCCCTGCATTCTAAATAAGCTCTTAGCATTTATAGTTTCCCCAGAGCACTCCTCCCCATTTATAAGATCTCCGCATTTTATAGATGAGAAAACTGAGAGCCAGAGAGGTTAACTGACTTGCCCAAGATCACACAGTTAGGAAGGATAGAGCCAAGGACTCTGACTGCCAAAGCCACCATAGTGTGTGTGTTCATGTTCATGCCTGCATGTACCTGCACACACAAAGATACTGCTTCCCGGGAGGAACCTGGGGTTTCAAGAGAGGCTCACAACTCCCCTGTGACATGAGGTTGGAGCTGATTTCATTGTGCACAAGAGTGGGCCTGGTCTAGGACAGCCTCCTCGTCCCTCTCTCTGACTCATCCTGTGTCCATGCTGATGCCTGGGGTATTGTGTTTGCTTCCACAGATGGGAGCTTGCCTGCCTATCTGCCCATCGGCCTGGATCCCAGAGCCTGCCCAGCTAAGTGCATGCAGAGGGCCCCGGGGTCGGGGCAACTCTCAGGCCGCCGCGGAAAGCACCCTGGAATCACTGGCGAAGACAGGCCTTTCCTGCTGAGCCGGGCCTGTCTGCACAGCCACTCAGGTAACAGTGTACAGGGAAGTCAAGTCTGTGCCACCCCCAGCGAGTGGGGATCAAGAGCACTTACTTCCCATTCCTAGCAGGGAGTCCCCTCTCCTGGCTTAGGCCAAAAAGAGGCCATTTATAGAATCAAATATATTAACCCAGCTTACTCAAACTCCCTATTATCCAGAAAGGGGAACTGAGACCCATGGATATACAGCAAGTCCCCTGGAGTCCTGCCTCCTAGTCTGGGGACTCTTCTCTGCACTTTGATGACCTGAGAGAACTGGGAAGAGAAAAGGGTTGTGACAGTGACCAGAACTCAGGGCAGAGGTGGAAACCAGAGTGCCTGATGTGTGCAGCTGACCCCCCACCCAGGACCCCTTTCTACTGGAGTCTGTGGAACCAGAGAGCTGGGAGGCCATCGTGAGGTGCTGAGAGGACCTGGGTAGCTCAGGTATGCTAGGCTGCCCTCATAGGATGCAATGGGGTGGGGGAAGGACCCCCTTCCTACTCCTGGGCCAGATTAGCCCACCCAGTCTCAAGAGCCACAGAGGCCAGGTGGGGCTGCCCTGCCCTTCAGAGGCAACTCCCTGAACTGACACATGACGCCTCTGGGCTCCAGGAAGCTCCCTGGAGCCCAGCCTGCCTGGGGACCCCACCCATCTTCCAAAAGAGCATTCCTGGGTCCTGAGGTCTGGGGGTGGGGCCTCCTGGGATTGTAAGGGTGGGAAGGTACAGCTGTGGGAGGATGCAGGACTGTGTCTACCAGCCTACAAATGTGCAAGGCATCTTGTGTGCAAGCAGGCGTGTGTAGGGCTCTGTCCTGAGGGTTCTGTATGTGAGAGTTATATAAGTGGATTGGGCTGGAGGATGTCCGGGGTCTGTGAATGTGGTACATTGGAGTGGTGAGTGTGCAAGATTGCGTGTGGGCAGGTGTGAGAATACTGGAGTGTTGTGTGTACCACACTGAATGGTGTATGTGTGCAGGGTGCTAGTGTCCACTGGAGAGGTGTGTAGACAAGAATCTGAACACACTGAGGTGATCTGTGGGTACGCTGGGATTATGTAGTGTGTGTACACAGGAATCTCTCCGCGTGTCACTGGGGAAGCGTGTGTTCAGGGTTCTGGGTGCACACTGGGGGAGGTGTGTGCACGTGGCTCCATTTGTGCTTTGGAGGTGGGCTGGGCAAGCCTTCAGTTGAGCTGGGCTCAGCAGTGCCCAGCCTTGTGGCCAAATCGCTGAAGTCACTTCCTTTCCTGCAGCAACTTTCCAGGAGGAGGAGTTCATCAGACCTGGGCGGGGAGAGGGGGGCGGAACCAGGAGCTCTCTGGGGAAGGAGGTGGGCGGGGGTGGGAGGCTGTGGGGAGGGCCTGGTGGGGCTGGAGGAGGGGAGTCCTCCGGCAGACAGAAGGAAAGACAAGGACAGGAGTCTGGAAGGGCCAAGGGCAGGAGGGGATGGGGGCGGAGCAGGGCGGGAAGCACAGTCCCTGGGTGACCTCGGAGGGAGGAAGGGAGGGCCACCCGGCAGGGTGACCCTCAGGTTCAGCCAGAGCTGGCAGTGGTGCCCGCACACCTGGCACCCAGGGAAGGGGGCTGGCAGGGGGCGGGACTAGGGCAGACCTGCTTGCCAGGTGCCCCGCTCCGGGCAGGAAGGGGGTGGGCGAGGGCTGCACAAAGGAGCTCTGTGTGGCTGGGGGTAGGGTGGGGTGGGGTGTGCTGCGCTGCGCTGTGCTGTGGGGGGGCCCTGATGGCTCCAGGGGGTGGGGCGGGGCTTGCTTCCCTTGGGGGCATCAGTAGCTCTAAGGGGACACCTAGTGGCGAGGGAGGGTAGTGCATGTGGGTGACTAAGGTGGGAAGGGGTAGATTAGAAGTTAAAAACTAGAACTGGTGATTGGGACTAGGACAGTTGGAGGAGGCTGTAGGGGAGGGAAGAGGCTGACTCTCTAGACAGTGAAGAAGTTTGGTTTAAAGAAACCCAACAAACCTAAATTCAGACTCCAGCTCCTCCATGTCATGGCTGTTTGTCCTTAAGGACATAACTTAACCTCTCTGTGCCTCCGTGTAAATGCCAAAGAAGTGGCAGCTGCCATCATTCTTTTCATCATTGTTATTTTTGTTATGATTTTGGGCTGAAGTCAGGTTGGAAGAAGAGCTTCAGGCACAGTTGGGTAGGTGGGAGGGGGGTGAAGAGAAGGAGATTGAGAGGGGTGGTACTTAGTTCCTGAGGGGGCAGATCCTGGGAGATAGAGGCCTGGAAGGGAGGTGATGGGGGAGGTCTCACAGCAGCAGTAATAGCCCCTTTGATGCAGTGTTTTCCATTTGAGGACATCCCTGGGCCTTCAATCCAGGCTGGGAGGGAAATGGTGTGGGGGGAGGAGTGTGCAGGCTGGAGAGAGGGTCATGAGGCCGGAAGTGAGAGCTGGGGCTGGCAGCCTGGCTCCCCTGGGGAGGCTGTGGGTGGGGGAGGGGGAGGCGGGCTGGGGAAGGGGTGGGGTGGTCACAGCCGCAGCAGCAGCAGCAGCAGCAGCAGCAGCAGCGGGGGAGGGTGGGGCTGGGGACTCAAGGATGTGGGCTGGCGCTTCCCGGCACTGTGCACAGCAGGTTGGGGCCCTCAGCCCCCTCCCAGCCTGCTGGTATCCCCATGGGCAGGCTCAGACACACTGACCCAGAAGCAGGCAGAAGGACAGAAGGACCCTTTCGACTTTGTTCACAGGCGTGGGATAGGTGGTGCCCTTGGGAGGGGTCCAAGAAAATGGCCGGCTGGGTGTGGTGGGGAGGGGAGCCAGCTGCTTCCCTCAGATCCTGAGGCTGCAGGAGAGAGCAGTGGGACAGAGTCAGGAGGTCTGGCAGGAGGACTTGCCCAGAGGTCTTCACGGGTGGGTGGAACAGAAGCCACCGCTGCAGAGGAGCTTTTTCTCCTCTGCCAAGATCACACCCTCAGGCCCCAAGTGGGAGGTCTCCAGAGCAGGGTGACTTGGTGAGCCCCACCCTCAGTAAGGGAGGGGTGGTGGCTTCTGGTAGGCATCTCAAAGAGGGCATCGGGAGCCGTGGGTCAACCATACTCTTGGAAATAAGACTTGGAGATTCCAGAGTCTGAGCCCCTTCCCTCCTTTGTGAGGGTGTTACCAACAGCCCTTCCTTCAAGAGCAACAGTGAGATTCTTGAAGCAGAACGGGCCTAGCCTGGGAGGGGCAAGTCCACAGTCTACAGCCAGGCATGGAAGAGCAGAACCCTGAGTGATTGAGTAGGCGGGACAATAAGGAACAGCTGAGGCCTGGGACCTGCAGAGAGGGAAAGGACAGTGGACAGGGGGATGTTCTGCCTGGATGAGTAATAGAAGGGGCCTCCCATGCCATTGTGTGGGCTTTGGCAAAGTCTCCTTCCTTCTTGGGGTCTCAGTTTCCTCATCTGTAAAATGGGAGGAGCATGAGGTGTCACTAGAACAGTGTACCCTCTGGGGAGGCTCATTAAAAATATAGATTCCCAGATGTCCCTTCAGATTTATGAGTCAGACTCCCCTGGACTAGGGCCTGGGTATCTGGAGTCTTACACGGCTCCCCTAGGCCCAGGCTTTGGAAGCCAGTGGGTGAGATGATTTTAAGGTTCCTCCCAGCCTTAAATTAGACCACGGCTCTAGAAAGAGCACTTTCAGGAGGGACTGGAGGAGAGCTGCAGGAGCTGGGAATGGAAGGTGGCTTTGGACTTCGGGCAGAATGAGGAATCCTGCCACTTAGCAGCTGTGTGACTTCAGGCAAGTTACACAACTGCTCTGAGACTGTTCCCTCTGAAACACGGGGATAATAAGACAGGCCTCCCGGGTTGCTGTGAAGATTCAGTGGGTCATGTATGAGGAGGTGCTTTGTAGATTGCAAGTTGCTGCGCACCAAGGGGTAGTGAGGGAGTGTCCCTTTCCACACCATCCTGTCCCCGAGTCAGCTCTGTAGTCTTACTGTGGGGTGACAGCACTGAGCAGTATGGTAAGAGTCTACATGTGTCTGTGGGGGTGGGCCCTGGGGAGCAGGTCAGGGCGAAACACTAGTCAGTGATCAGGGTCAGGCTTTAAGATCTTCACAGAGGTCAGGACCCATTTATCTCCCACTCCCCAAGATCCCAGCTCCTGGGGATCAGCCAGGGCCCTGAATCCCCAGGCTCCCTTGGGAGTCAGACATGCCTGGATCTAAATCCCAGCTCTGTCCTGACCAGCTCAGGGAGTCAGTCGGTAAATATTTATGTAGCATCCATAGCCCAGGCCCTAGGGTCAGGGGATACAGTGGTAAACAAGACAGATGCGGTCCCTGCCTCTGAAGAGCCCTCACTTGGGCGGGAGACACACTGAACAGCCAGTCATACAAATAATTGATTGCGGTCGTGATAAATACTGTGAAGGTGAAATAGAGAGGGCCCTGAGCGTACGTAGCAGGGACCGGATCCAGGCCAGAGGTGGGATGGGGAGGTCAGAGGGAGTCTTTCTGATAAAGGCAGGAGAGGGATCAGAGAATGTCCCTTTCCACATCCTTTTCTTCCTCCCACCCTCCACATCCTTCTTGGGTCCCACTTTTGTGTCTAAGCAAGAATGAGAGAGCCTCCTGCAAGAAGGCGGGGCTGATTGCTCTGAATGCCTCATTCATTCATTCATTCATTTCTTTAATAAATATTTTTTGAAGCATGCCTGTGGGCCACCTGCTGACCAGGGTTTTAGGAGATACACACAAAAGTGAACAGGACAGAACTCCTTGCCTCCATGGTGCTTACCACCTTTCAGTGGATGGTTTCCTCATCTGTAAAAATGGGGATGATAATCATTATCTCAGGTTTGCAGGGGGATTAGATGAGATAATCCATATAAAGTGCTCAGCTCAGTGTTTGGCAACAGAGAAAGTGTCCCCAGAGTATGAGCTTTTATTGTAGTTGACTCCCTGGTATGATTGTTAAACCTCTGACCTCAGGCGCTCTTCACCTTTTCTTTGCAGCTCTTATTCCACTAATAATTAAATCATTTACGATTATCTGATCACTGCTTGTCTATGCAGTCCTTGTGCAAAGTAGGCACTCCATAAATAACGAGTATGTGAATGAATGATGTTGCTTCATCTCTTAGCCTCCATGTCTTCATCTGCAAAATGGGGTTATTAATAGCCCCTGCCTCGCAGGATTGGTATGAAGAATTAAATGAAACGATGCCTGGACAGCTTCCAGCCCAGTGCCTGGCGTGCAGTAGGTGCTCACTAAACCTGAGCTGCGATGGTCCTTTCCAGGCGCTGTCCACGCCCCGAGCCTGGGCTCAGGCTGAAGTTGCTCCACGGCACCCCCCAGCTGACAGCCAGCGACTGGCAGAGCCCCCAGGCACGGGGGCCCTCTCTCTTCCAGGTCAGCTGGGTGTCTGCACTGGAGGGAGCACCGAGGGAGCTGGGGGTGGTATGTGGAGGGGACCAGGCAGGTGGGCAGTGGTTGGGCTGTGGCCACCAGACCATTCAGATCTCCTGTTGCCTGTCTTTGCCCACAGAGGTCTCCAGTGTGACAGCCCAGGCGGCAGAGCCGAGGGTGAGTGCCTGGGGTTTTGGAGACCCGGGGTTGGGGCAAGAAGGAAGAAGCCATGCCCACGATAGGACTTCCTGGCCCTGTCCTTAAGTTTGATCTGGAGTGGTTGCCCCACCCTGCCAATGGGCTTCCCTCTCGAAGGCAGGTGTCCTGTTCTCCCTGAGCCCACAGCCAGGGTCTAGAAGCAGGTGAACTGTCAATAAGTGCAACTGGGGTCCATCATGCTGCATGTGGTGGTTTGGGAAAGATTGGGGGTCAACAAAGGGGTTGGGCTTGGGGAGGGGAGTTAGGGAGGGGTGCAGGGGCTCACCAGGATACGGGAAGCTGACGGGGACTTGGGTATTCAGTGAGGGACCTCCTGCCTGTCCTGCCCAGCAGGTCCTGGTCCCGGCTTCTCGCACCCTCATGTCAGCCCCGGCCCTGCCCGGCGGCCCGCGGAGGACAAGGTCAGGATGCGTGTGAAGCCCCAGGGCCTGGTGGTGACTTCCAGTGCCGTGTGCAGCTCTCCTGACTACCTCCGGGAGCCCAAGTACTACCCCGGCGGCCCCCCCACCCCCCGGCCCTTGCTTCCCACCCGGCCCCCTGCCAGCCCACCTGACAAGGCCTTCGCCCACACCTTCTCTGAGAACCCACGCCCACCCCCACGCCGGGACCCCAGCACCCGGCGCCCACTAGTCCTTGCCAAGGGGGACGACCCGCTGCCCCCGAGAGCAGCCCGGCCCGTCTCACAGGCCCACTGCCCCACACCTGCGGGAGACGGCAGCAGCTCCCGACGTCGCTGGGACAACGGCCGGGTGAACCTGCGTCCAGTGGTGCAGCTGATTGACATCATGAAGGATCTGACGCGCCTCTCCCAGGACCTACAGCACAGCGGCGTGCATCTGGACTGCGGTGGGCTCCGGCTCAGCCGCCCGCCCGCCCCCCCACCTGGTGACCTTCAGTATAGCTTCTTCTCCTCACCTAGCCTGGCCAACAGCATCCGCAGTCCTGAGGAGCGGGCTACTCCCCACGCCAAGTCCGAACGGCCCAGCCACCCCCTCTACGAACCTGCACCTGAGCCTAGAGACAGTCCCCAGCCCGGCCAAGGCCATAGTCCCGGAGCCACGGCTGCAGCCACCGGTCTGCCCCCGGAGCCCGAGCCGGACGGCCCTGATTACTCAGAACTTGCTGACGCTGACATCCTTAGTGAGCTGGCCTCCCTTACTTGCCCTGAAGCCCAGCTGCTGGAGGCCCAGGCCCTCGAGCCACCGTCACCTGAGCCAGAGCCTCAACTCCTGGACCCCCAGCCCCGCTTCCTGGACCCACAGGCACTAGAGCCGCTCGGGGAAGCTTTGGAGCTGCCGCCCCTGCAACCTCTTGCTGATCCTCTGGGGCTACCGGGCCTGGCTCTACAGGCCCTGGATACCCTGCCTGACTCCCTGGAGTCACAGCTGCTCGACCCTCAGGCACTTGACCCCCTGCCCAAGTTGCTTGACGTCCCCGGCCGCCGTCTGGAGCCTCAGCAGCCCCTGGGGCCCTGCCCACTGGCCGAGCCCTTGCGCCTAGACTTGTGCTCACCCCATGGCCCCCCTGGGCCTGAGGGTCACCCCAAGTACGCCTTGAGGCGCACTGATAGGCCAAAGATCCTGTGTCGCCGGCGGAAAGCCGGCCGGGGGCGCAAGGCAGATGCTGGACCTGAGGGCCGCCTGCTGCCCCTGCCTATGCCTACAGGGCTGGCAGCCACCCTGGCCGAGCCCCCACCACCACCGCCTCCACCACCTCCTACCCTGCCAGGCCCTGGCCCAGTCCCAGAGCTGGAGCCGGAATCTTCCCAGACTCCAGTGGTCCCTACCCGCAAAGGCAAGTGCCGGGGCGTGCGGCGCATGGTGGTGAAGATGGCCAAGATCCCTGTAACACTGGGGAGGCGGAACAAGACCACGTACAAGGTGTCATCCTTGAGCAGCAGCCTGAGTGTGGAGGGCAAGGAGCTGGGCCTGCGTGTGTCGGCAGAGCCTACCCCACTGCTAAAGATGAAGAACAATGGACGGAACGTGGTGGTGGTCTTTCCACCTGGCGAGATGCCCATTATTCTCAAGCGTAAGCGCGGCCGCCCTCCTAAGAACCTGCTGCTGGGTCCTGGCAAGCCCAAGGAGCCAGCCGTGGTGGCAGCCGAGGCAGCCACCGTGGCAGCAGCCACCATGGCCATGCCGGAGGTGAAGAAACGGCGGCGGCGGAAGCAGAAGCTGGCATCTCCCCAGCCGTCCTATGCGGCAGACGCCAACGACAGCAAGGCCGAGTACTCAGACGTCCTCGCCAAGCTTGCCTTCCTGAACCGCCAGAGCCAGTGTGCCGGTCGGTGCTCACCGCCCCGCTGCTGGACACCCAGTGAGCCCGAGTCAGTGCACCAGGCACCTGACACCCAGAGCATCTCTCACTTCCTGCACCGTGTGCAGGGCTTCCGAAGGCGTGGAGGCAAAGCGGGCGGTTTTGGTGGCCGGGGTGGGGGCCATGCAGCCAAGGCAGCCCGTTGTTCCTTCAGTGACTTCTTTGAGGGCATTGGCAAGAAAAAGAAGGTGGTGGCAGTGACAGCTGCTGGGGTTGGGGGCCCCGGCCTCACCGAGTTGGGGCACCCACGCAAACGGGGCCGGGGGGAGGTGGATGCCGTGACTGGGAAGCCCAAGCGCAAGAGGCGGTCCCGGAAGAACGGGACTCTGTTCCCAGAGCAGGTGCCCAGTGGCCCAGGCTTTGGGGAGGCGGGTGCTGAGTGGGCCGGGGACAAGGGTGGTGGCTGGGCCCCTCACCATGGGCACCCAGGCGGGCAAACTGGCCGAAACTGTGGGTTCCAGGGGACCGAGGCCCGGGCCTTTGCCTCCACTGGGCTAGAGAGTGGGGCTTCAGGCCGAGGCAGCTACTACAGCACAGGTGCGCCTGCGGGCCAGACAGAGCTCAGCCAGGAGCGCCAGAACCTCTTCACCGGCTATTTTCGCTCACTGCTCGATTCGGATGACTCCTCTGACCTCCTGGACTTTGCCCTCTCAGCCTCTCGCCCTGAGTCCCGGAAGGCGTCAGGCACCTACACAGGGCCCCCCACCAGCGCCCTACCTGCCCAGCGGGGCCTGGCCACTTTCCCCAGCCGGGGAGCCAAGGCCAGCCCAGTGGCAGTGGGCAGCAGTGGGGCTGGGGCAGACCCCTCCTTTCAGCCTGTGCTGCCTGCTCGCCAAACCTTCCCACCAGGCCGTGCAGCAAGCTATGGGATAACCCCAGCCACTTCAGATTGCCGGGCTGCCGAGACCTTCCCTAAGCTGGCTCCCCCACCTTCAACCGTGGCCCGCTCACCTACTACCCACCCACCCACCAACACTTACCCACCCCAGTATGGTGGCTATGGGGCTGGACAAAGCGTATTCGCCCCAGCTAAGCCCTTTACAGGCCAGGACTGTGCTAATAGCAAGGACTGCAGCTTCGCCTATGGCAGCGGCAACAGCCTGCCTGCCTCGCCCAGCAGCGCCCACAGCGCTGGCTACGCCCCACCGCCTACTGGTGGCCCCTGCCTGCCACCAAGCAAGGCCTCCTTCTTCAACAGCTCTGAGGGGGCCCCCTTCTCTGGTTCAGCCCCCACGCCCCTGCGCTGTGACAGCCGGGCCAGCACCGTCTCGCCCGGCGGCTACATGGTGCCCAAGGGCACCACAGCCTCTGCCACCTCCGCTGCCTCTGCCGCCTCCTCCTCCTCCTCCTCCTTCCAGCCCTCGCCTGAGAACTGTCGGCAGTTTGCGGGGGCTTCTCAGTGGCCTTTCCGGCAGGGCTACGGAGGCCTGGACTGGGCCTCAGAGGCCTTCAGTCAGCTCTACAATCCTGGTTTCGACTGCCACGTCACCGAGCCCAACGTGATCCTGGACATCTCCAACTACACGCCACAGAAGGTGAAACAGCAGACAGCCGTGTCCGAGACCTTCTCCGAGTCGTCCTCTGACAGCACCCAGTTCAATCAGCCAGTCGGCGGTGGTTTTCGGCGTGCCAACAGCGAGGCCTCGAGCAGTGAGGGCCAGTCGAGCCTGTCCAGCCTGGAGAAACTGATGATGGACTGGAACGAGGCATCATCTGCCCCCGGCTACAACTGGAACCAGAGCGTCCTCTTCCAGAGCAGCTCCAAACCAGGCCGTGGACGGCGGAAGAAGGTGGACCTATTTGAGGCCTCACATCTGGGCTTCCCATCATCTGCCTCGGCCACTGCCTCAGGCTACCCATCCAAACGGAGCACTGGGCCCCGACAGCCACGGGGTGGACGGGGCGGTGGGGCCTGCTCAGCCAAGAAGGAGCGGGGTGGTGCAGCAGCCAAAGCCAAGTTCATCCCCAAGCCACAGCCGGTCAACCCGCTGTTCCAGGACAGCCCAGACCTTGGCCTGGACTACTATAGCGGGGACAGCAGCATGTCACCACTGCCCTCGCAGTCGAGGGCCTTCAGTGTGAGCGAGCGAGACCCCTGTGACTTCATGGGACCCTACTCCATGAACCCATCCACGCCATCTGACGGCACCTTTGGCCAAGGGTTTCACTGCGACTCGCCCAGCCTGGGTGCCCCTGAACTGGACAGCAAGCATTTCCCGCCACTGGCCCACCCACCCACCGTGTTTGATGCTGGCCTGCAGAAGGCATACTCACCCACTTGCTCACCCACACTAGGCTTCAAGGAAGAGCTGCGGCCGCCACCCACAAAGCTGGCTGCCTGTGAGCCCCTCAAGCATGGGCTCCAGGGGGCCAGCCTGGGCCACGCGGCTGCAGCCCAGGCACACCTGAGCTGCCGGGACCTGCCGCTGGGCCAGCCCCACTACGACTCTCCCAGCTGCAAGGGCACAGCATATTGGTACCCGCCAGGCTCAGCTGCCCGCAGCCCACCCTATGAAGGCAAGGTGGGTACGGGGCTGCTGGCTGACTTCCTGGGCAGGACGGAGGCCGCGTGTCTCAGTGCCCCACACCTGGCTAGCCCACCGGCCACGCCCAAGGCCGACAAAGAGCCGCTGGAGATGGCCCGGCCGCCTGGCCCACCCCGTGGCCCCACTGCAGCCACTGCTGGCTATGGCTGCCCACTCCTTAGTGACTTGACCCTGTCCCCCGTGCCGAGGGACTCGCTGCTGCCCCTGCAGGATACTGCCTACAGGTATCCAGGCTTTATGCCGCAGGCGCATCCCGGCCTGGGTGGGGGCCCCAAGAGCGGCTTCCTGGGGCCCATGGCGGAACCTCACCCTGAGGACACATTCACCGTCACCTCCCTGTAGTGCCAACTGAAGTGCCGACTGGACCTCGAGGTTTTGTTCCTGGGTGAGTCTGGGCATGTGGGTTTAGTGGGCAGAGAGGCCTAGAGGTGGGAGGGGTGAGGACATTGGAGTTTAGGCGAGGGGAAAAGGTATAGTGATGAGCAGGAAGGATTTAAGGACAAGACTGGGGACGTGACGACAGGGAGCTGGGATTCAGGAAGGAGTCTGGGATTAGCTTTTGGGAATAGTCTGAGGAAGGAGATGGGTTGCTTGGGTGGGGAACCCAGCATGGGGATTGGACATTCCCCAGTTACTGAGATGACTGGAGAACCGTAGACTGCATGGGGCCATTTAGTTTGGTTCGTCAAGCATTTATTTCCCTCACTCCTGTTAGGTCCTGGGCAGGCACCACCTGAGTCCCAGGAAAGACTCACTACTTGGCCTCTTATGAGGGAGGCATTCACATCACCCTGTGTGACACAAGTGATGAGACAAGCAGGTTGGATCATTATCCACTGCGGCCTATCCAGGGTCCAACCCTACCAGGCTCCCTCGTTTCCCTGGGAGCTTCATTTAATCCAAGATGCAATCTGGCCAGGGCTAGGCTGAGTGTGGCCAGTATGTCTTGGTCACACACTCTGCAATGGCTTTACAAAATGGCCCGAAGTGTCCTTTCCTGGTCTCCCAGGGTACCCCCAAAGGCTATTTTTCAGTATCTTTGGCCTGAGGTAGGCTCAAGAGTGGTCAGGGGCATGCAAGGTAGGGATCCAGAGGAGAAAAGGGGTGCTGGGGTCCTGCCGTGCCTGGGAACCTGCAGCCAGTGGATCTGTCCCCAGGCAGGATGTTTTCTGCCTAGAGAAAGCCAGTTCTTTTCCTGAAGCTAAATGCTTTTCCAAGAGTTCGGTTAAACATTACTAGATATTTAGGTATTATTTTTATCAGGCACTGTGACCTCATTAGTTGGAGTCACAGTTTTAGTTTCTTAAGATTTTGTGTTTAAGAAAAGGAAAGTAAAAAGGGGAAAATGCCCCCAAAATGGAAAAGGGGCAGGGTTGGAGAAGTCATTTTCTTGATGAACAACCTGCTCCAGAAATACAGCCATAGCTGGCCCATCAGATCTCACTTTTGGACAACAGATTTGTCACAAAATTGGCCCAGATGTGATGGGTGGCAGTGGTATGGGCCAGGGGCCTGGCTGAGCCCCTCACCCTCCACCTCTGCTGCCACTGCAGCCTCCTGGGAGTGTCTCTTCCTGGAGAAGGAATAGCAGGGCTCCTGGAAAGCCCCGTCCCTGCTCTGGGAAGGCCATTCAAGGCCAGGGTGACTCAGGGTCCTGAAGTCATGTCACTGGAAAGTTGTTACCCCCTCTCTGCCTGACCTCAGCTCCCTTGGTGCCTAAAGGTGGCAAAGGGCAACACGTGGGGGTCAGGAGGCTCAGGGAAGGACCCTTCCCCAATTGGCCATCAACTTGCTACATGCCCTTGACCAAGCTTTTGCCCCTCCTCCCCCCCGCCTCTATTTCCCCATCTGTTCAAGGAGATTGACTTTGATAATCTCTTAGGCTCTTGCAACTCTGCATGGCATAGACAATGGACTGAACTTTTTTTTTTTGGCAGCATATTTTTCCTCCTAATGAAGCCAGGCCAAGATTAAAATGGCCTTCCATTCCCCATGCGTCTCATTGCAAGCAGCAGAGCCACAGATCTGAGGCAGACCAGGGAGAAGCTGCTTAGGGTTTAAAATGTCAAACACTTGATCCTTCTCACTGGAGGGGAGATGTCTCATGGATAATCCAGAAATGTGAAATAATCCAAAAACCGTTCCTCCCGGGCTCTGGGTGGGAAAATAAACGGGAATGGGGGCTGGGTGTTTGGGCAGGTCACAGCTCAGTGAGATACATAATGGAACCACCCAGTGAGGCCTGAACGCAGGAGGAACTGGGATGCCATCCAGCCCCACATTCTGGCCCCGCTCCCCACTCAGAGCTGGGAGTTGACATCACTATCCTCAGACCAATGCATTCACTTGTTCCAGAGACATCTGTCCAGCACCCACTATGTGCCAGGCATTGGGGGCACCACAGTGAATACCACAAATGAGGTCCTAGTCCTCAGAGGGCTTCCAGTTTAGAGAGAAAGACAGTAAACAATGACACAGAGCATTTAATAATTATCACCATAGGAAGGACTGTGCAAGAGAAGAAAAGCTAGGAGGCCGTGAGAGCCTGTAGCAAGCTGATGCCAGAAAATGGGAGGACATTGGCCAGACCAGGAGTGGGAAGAGCATTCTGGGCAGAGAGAGCAGCAGTGAGTAAAGCCCTGAGGGAGGCAGAGGCTCAGCTTTGAGGAATTGATAAGAAGACAGTAGCATCGAGTAAGGGACGAGGCAGGCAGGGCCAGATCATGTAGGGTATTGGAAGGTTTGAACTTTACTCCAAGACAAATGGGGAATGGTTGAAGAGTTCTCAGCTGCGATGCCATGGGTCACAGTGGAGCAGGGCAAGTGTGGAAGGAAGGAGACCAGCTGCAGGAGTCCAAGCAAGCATTGATGGTGGCATGGACCAAGGCTGTGGTGGGCTGTCTCCCTTCTTTATCTAAGATGGCACACCAGCTCCCTCCCTCATCTAGGGCAACCCTCAGTGCCAGGGACTGATGAGAATCATTGTGAGAGTGAGGAAGAGTTGGGGATATAGAGAGGACAACAGTGAGGAGGAAGAGTCAACAGAGGGAGGAGTGCTGTCAGCAATGGGTTTATACACAGAGGACGGTGACACGCTCATTCACCAACAGGCTGTGAGCACTTTGGACACTGGGCACTGGAGAAGCAGTCATTCAGCTCAGCCTCACATCTTGAGCCCCTCCATGCCCATCCCACTGCCAGGCACGGGGGAGACAGAGACATGGCCCCTGTCTTTAGAGTTCAGCATCTACCCCAGGAAGCTAAAACAAGTACACAAAGAACCTAAAAACACCTGGTGGAAAGTGGCAGGTGCCCAGAGGCAGGGAGAAACAAAGCTTGAGCACCAGGAAAGGTGAGCGTTGGGGTCAGAAATCATCTCTCTACCCCATTGTTAGGAAAGGGACATGAATTTGTGCAACACTGCCACACTGACCCTTCGGAGCAACACCCACCCTCCCATCAGAGTCGAGGAAACAGGTACAGCTGTGAACCTCACCCAGGGGATCCACAGGTAGTAAATGGTGGAGCCAGGATTTGAGCCCAGTCCTGGCCCCCCAGAGCCTGGGTACTCTGCCATACTGCTCCTTCTCCGCCCTGCACCCCTGATTCTCCACCTGCAAAATGACGGATTGGGTGGATGCTCCCTACAACTCTTTCTGGGTCTGACATTTTAAATGGATTTTGAGGTTCTGCGGAAGAAGCTGCATTTGAGCTTGACCTTGAAGAACAGGCAAGATTTGGACACGTGGAGACTGGGGGAAGGGCATTCCAGGCAGAGGGAACTGTGGGCAAGGGCAGGTCACACCCCAGTATGAATTAGAAGAGGAAGGCTCAGAGGAGCCAGAGTGGGAAAGGCAGGACCTGACTGGTCTGAGAGCTGAGCTGCTGGGGCAGAGAGGGAAGGGGGCGGGGCGGCATGGGGCTTTGGGCCTGGGCAGACATCTTGTCTAGTCCCTTAGATGGAAAGCAGAGCCAGACAGCCTGGCTCCACATCAGGCCCCCATGGCTGAAGATCGGCCCCACCAGACCCTGGGGACAGGGTGGGAGGGTAGGAAGGACCCTCCAAGGTGTTTCGGAATCTCGAGTCCCCTTCTCCTCCCTGTTACCCCTCTGGCCTGGACCTGAGGCCAAGAGAAATGTCACAGGTCCTCCGAGGTTATACCAGCTGGGACCTGACCAGAGCAGGAAGCAGTTTCCAAGGCCACCATCCAGCCAAGGTCATCAGGCATGCCCAGACCTGGGCCAGGCCCCGGCTGCCCTGGGCTTTGTCTCTCCGTGTCTTGAAACCTCAAGAGGTCACTTGATCTTGCCTCTGGCTCTAAGCAAGAGGCCCTCACGTCAGGGGTTAGCCAGTCTCGCCCTGCCTCTTCTGGGATTCTCTTCCCACTCTCTGAGGCTGTCCTCCCTCCGGTCCTATCTCTTGCCTCTCCTGCAGCCATTTTCAGGCCAGGCCTGCCTTTTCTGAGCCCTCATTTCCTGGAAATATAATCTCTCCGTGAACATGCCCTCTCACGCTCCTTCTCTCCTGTCTTCCACAACCCTGTGGACCCGGAAGAACCCAGAGGAGGGTGCACCCTACTGAAATGGGAGGGTGGTGGCTAGAAACATGCCTGTGGGCGCGGACAGGCCTCTGTGCAGAGCTCAGTTCCATCCCTTACCAGCTATGTGACCTGGTGAGTCATATCACCTTGCTGTGTCTCTTGTAAGAATTAAATGACATTCCCCATAAAGCACTTAGCCCAGTCTCTAGCACATAGTAAGCATGTAATGGGTGGTTGGTAAATGGGTGGATAAATACCTCTCCACGCTCTGAATTCTGGGGCCTCTAACCCACTCTGAGTCCCACACCTCTCACCCTTTCCTCTTTGCTCGGGACTCCGTAGCCAGCCTTCCTTCACCTGCTCTCCCTGCTTCCCTCCTAGGAAGGATCTTATAGTCTAGTGTAGGTTTGGGGCCTTTGGCAGGAGGCTGTGAAATACCACCTAGTTCTTTGCCTTAGCAACTGGGCTAAGTCCTCCCTGGGGGGCCCAGAGACAAGGTAAGTCATAAGCCCTACCCCAAGGGACCTGAAGCCTGAAGGACAACAGGACCCAGACTCCTAAATGACCCAGGTCAGCTAGAAACCCTGTCCACAGTTATCTGCGCCAATCCTCTTGGTGCAGATAATCTGAAAATGATTTCTTTGTGTCTTTGTAATACGTCATGATTTTCCCCCGGCAGATTTGCCATCTTTGTCATCATAACTTTTGCTGCCATCGTCCCCATTGTTTGTGCTGGAAGGCAAGGAGAAGTAGGTTAATTCTGTGTTCAATGCACATGAACGAGCCACCTGCCCTGGGCCAGGCATGGCATCTGGTGCTGAGGGTACCACTTAACGAGACAAGC